TTCCCTGCCCATTTTTCTTATTTTTTGAGAGTCAGGGTTTGTGATGAAAGTGATTTTTAGTCCATATAAATTACAGGTCTAAACCCATTGACTCAGATAGTTAATGGGAATTGTTTTGAGTATTTAAATTTAAAAAAATTGGATTTAAACATTAATAATGCTTGGTAGCCATTAATGTCAAAAAATGAGCAATAAATGTAGAGTAACGAGGGTTGTTGTGACATTAGTGACCTTATGAGTTTGATGATTATTAGTTGGGAGTGATAGACATTATTAAATCTAATGAGTAATCCTAAATGTGAAAAGCAAAGGCATTGAAAATTTTAGAAATGAAAATACAAGAGTTAAAAATGTGTTTTCGATAATGTTAATTGAATTTAGACTTGATTGATTGCAGATTAATTATTTGAGCACCATATTTAACTTGGAAAGCAGGGTTGGAATCATATATTGAGTAGTTGTAATAATTTTTTTAAAAAAATTTGGTAGGTAGTATTTTGTAATTTTATCAAATAAGTTTGGGTCTTTTCTTGTAATTTTCCCCTATTATCTTTTATTTAAGTCTTCTTCTTCCTTGTCGGTGAAAAGAAACAGAAACGAGTGAAAAAAAAAACAGAGCAGAGCAGACAAGCACGAGAGAGAAAGAGAATTCTCTAAGCTTCCACTGACCCTTGCTCTCCGTTCTTCTTCCTCCGTCGCTCATCTCCATTGAGTCCTTTGTTTCTTTGGCCCTTCCTTTCTTTTTCTTCTCCACTTTCTAGTTTGTTACAGCACTAGAAAAAAATGAAAATGAAAAAAAAAACTACCCACTGTTGCTGAAAACTTGAGGGAACCGTGATCTCCTCCTCCTTTCTTTCTGTGCGTGAACATTGAGTAGTGGATTTGCCATTATTGGATGTTTGCTTGATGATTTCTTTCTCTTATTCTCTATGTTGTAGATGTCTTCTTTTCTACCATGCTAAATTAGCTAATTGAATTTTCATTTTCATCTTTATGCTGTTGGTATATATATATTGAATATTGATATTTCTCTTGCTTTAGATGTTAAGTTTTAAACTCTTTTATTGCCCTTTTGATTTAGAGCTGTACAATTAAGGGGAGAGTTGTTTCTTTAGTTAATATTAAAATTGAAGCCTTGAATTTTATTGCTGAACAAGAAAATTATGATATAGGTGTGCGTTATAATAATTATGTTAATACAATGGCAAAGGATGATCTAGAAGCATAATTAGAATTATATAATAATAACAATGCCATTAGTTTGGCTAAGAATAAAAATGGAGAAATTAGGAGGCATAAAAGTGGACATATGAAAAATTGATTCAAATTGTAGAAAGAGATATTAAAGTTTTATTATATCAAATAGGGGTTCCAGAAGAGGAGAAGCTAAATTGAAGTTGATAAAAGAGAATTTTTAAAACTTGGAAGCATACCAGGTAAGTAAATAATGTTCCCTAATATATAGAATCAATGATCTTTCTTTTACCTTATTTAATTACCTTAATTGTTCTGAATTGATTTTTATTTTATTTTATTCATATTTTAAGATTTAGTTCATTCATATGTAATTAGTTTGATTATGACTCAACTTTAATCATGTAGATATTTTCATAGTATTTTATTTTTTTTAAATATATATATATATATATATGTGCATGGATAAGATAAATTACCGTGAAAAGATTATTTATGTCTTTCAAATTAAAGAACAATTTGAATTACAAGAGCTTATAGATTCCATGCATGCCAAATATGTTTTACGAGACTGAATACATAACACTGTTTGCTAATAATAGTATTGTTAACCCTTGGCGCGCCACAGCATACCTAACTAGTAGGGTACATTGGAGGCGCTAGCCCTATGTGTCGGCCAACACACGTGGAACGAAGGGTGTAATTTCGTGGATATAATCCATGCCTATTTTTTTCGTGGCTTCTTGCCACGTTAGATGTTACTTACCCTCATGGATTATTTGTCCACGCCTGTTATTCGTTCTGTTGAGGTTCTAACAGAAAATAAGTTTTTCAAAGTCATATTCTTGCTCTTAAGAATTGTATTTTATGATTTATTTTATATAGAAAGTCATATTTCTAAATGGTTATTCATGATTCTTTACTTTCCCTTTCTATTTTATTCACTCAATTATCAAGATTAAATTATATTATTATTTTTAATACCTTCTGTAATTAGATTAGTCTTTTGTTTCCTATCACACATTCATAATTATCATTTTGGTTAATATTATTATTATTTGGGAATGTTATTTATTGGAAGAATTTTTGGGTATTCAGATAGTAGAAGTGAACCTGCTTTTTGATTGATCTCGTGGGACTCCTTGAAACAAGAAGTATTTTGTTGCTCCGTCCAGATTGTGGATTAATGTAAATATTTAAATATCTTGGATTTTGTTCTAGATTCACTCCACGAATATTATAGGTAGGATCCTTGATTGAATTATTTTGGGATTGTACATATATACTGTATTGGAGTGGAATTTCGTATGCTGTATGGGTATTCTTTTGGCAGGTTGTAAAGATTTCGGGTAGTCCAACTTATAGGAGAGACTCTGTCGAAATTTTTATAACAAGTTAAATATTTTGATAATATTAGTAATTGTTTAATACAAACGACAATTATACAATGAGTTTGGATAATTAATATATCAAATAATATGCGAGTTTAGGCTTATGGGATATGAGTTTCTTGTATTCCAGCTGGTCACACTTAGGAAATTTAGGGTGTGACAGTAGTAAACCCTTAACCTCTCAAGAATTTAAGGTAACTGAAAGAAACTTATCTTAGGTAGTTGTTTGTTAATTGTGTTACAACGTGAAAATAGATTTATTTGCATGTATAATTGAGTTTGTAAATGTAAAACCATCCCATAAATCCTATGATAATGTATTAGCTTTCATTTGACTAACATGTGGAGTTTAACTTAACATGATTTTTCAAATTATGGAGATTTTCCAAAATGCCCTGTTTGATACCTTTGAGAACTGTAATCAATTCCTATGCTTCTGCTACTTTACTTAACTTGTTTTAAATTATGGTTTGAGCTCAAATATCTTTTCAAAAAAGATTTATTGGGATGCCAATCTTTTAATCTTTTCTTTAACCCTTAAGCTTTGATAACCTCATATAATGAACTTAAATTAATCTTGATTATCGTAACGATATTCCGGGTCTTGTGTTCTGTGTCCTGGTAATGCTAAGGCAGATATTACAATTACGATTTGCATATATCGATATGTATATATGAAGAATTGCATGTAGGCCCTAAAAGATAGAAAATTGCACTCTAGGCTTAATAAATTTTGATAATGCACTGCATGTTCAAGGGCCCTTGTTGCAATTTTTCTTGGGAGAAAAAAAATATAATTTTGCCCTTGTGTGATTTGAAACTCAGAACTTGTGTGAAATGGTCATCCACGAAATACAACATGATGTTCATGAATTCCTAACACAATGTTCATAAATTATCAATACAATGTCTACATATATTCAATTGATTTATATGTTAATTAAAATATATAAATCACACATAGCATGTACAATACAGTGTCCACGAGTGTATAACAAGATGTTCATACATTTTTAACACAATGTTTAGGAATTCTTAACATAATGGCTATAGATGTACAGCATGATGTTCATGCCTTCTCAACTGAATGTCCATGCGTGTCAAGTTGATCAGTAGGTTCAATAAAATGTACAAGTTATATAGACAATAACAACACAATGTATACAATACAATGTTCAAAAAAGTATTCCTAACACAATGCCCATATATGTCTAGTTGATTTGTAGGTTAATTAAGGGTTCATTTGGTTTTGTAGCTTTTAACATTTGGGAAGTGCTTTTTTACTTTTTAAAAGTCAGATGTTGTTTGATTTTCAATCTTTTCTCAGAAAGTCTATTTAAAAAGTCATTTCCAGATATTATTAAATGTGCTTTTAGCCAACTTAAAATAATGAAACTTTTGAAAAGTGAATTTGAAAAGCGAAATGTTATTTGACCATATTACTTTAAGTTTAATCTCTCATTCTTTTATTTAAAAATAGGCAATTCATTAAAAAACATAATTATCATTTTAATAATAATAATAATAATTAGGTATCAAGTTTTTAGTATTATAAATTGAATAATTAATCATGATAATTTTTAGCATTAATGTATAATAAAAATTACAAATCTTTATCACATTTTTTAAAATTAAAAATTTAAAAAGAACAAATAACTAGAGATTAAGTTTTTAGCATATAGATCAAATTTTATATTATTTAAAATCTTTATCATATTTTTAAATATTTTAAATATATTACACTTGCATAATAAAAATTATAAATAATCATAAATCATTGTCATTTTTAGTAATTATACATTTAAAATCACATTTTAGTATCATAATCCAAATAACTTTAGTTTATCAAATTGACTTTTAAAAAAATATATCAAAATATAAATTTTATTACAACAATTGACTTTCACTAAACTGACTAACTTTTACTAAATAAACTTTCATCACATGGACTTTTGACAAACTAAAAACAAAACACACACTACAATAGTCATGTAGAGGATGTATATCACAATGTTCATAGATTATCAAAGTAATGTTCATAAATTATCAATATAATATCCATGTATATCTAGTTGATTAATAAATTTAATAAAATGTACAAGTTATGAAGGCAATACACAACATAATATTTATGGATGTATAATATTATATTTATGAATTTTTAACTAAATGTTTATATGTATTAAGTTGATCATTCCACCATTTTCAGTTCGTTTTCTTCACCTTGATTAAGGGTAAAATTATACTTCCACCTCTAAAAAATTCATAACAAGAGCCTTTAAACTTGCGGTGCAATTTTTTTTTTTTAAGGCATGCAGTGTAATTCTCCCATTATATATATGCAACCTCCCACGTCAATTTAGCCAGGCCAAGGCCATATTCGCGCCAAAGGTAGCGCGTTTTCCCGCGCTTTCCTTTAAAACATCACTCAAAGCGAGCGGCCTACTGGTCCCCTCGATAGTTGCTCTCCCGGCATCAGATCTCAGGGACGGAAATGGCTGATGAACAGCCTCCAACGACTTCCAGGCGAAGGGGAAGAGGAGCCGAGGCATCGGCGCGTTCCGAAGCATTGGAGCGCCTAAAAGCTCGACTCCGTGGCGGTCGTCGTTCAGACGCCGAAGGATATCAAATTAAGTTGGATAACCCTATTTACGATACTGTGGCCGAGGACGAGTACAATGCTTTGGTCGCCAAGCGCCGCGAAGAAGCCCGAGGTTTCATTGTCGACGATGACGGTCTTGGGTACGGGGACGAGGGGGAGGAGGAGGATTGGTCAAAAGCTGGGTTCAATCTGTCCTCCGATGAATCCGATGGCGATACAGAAAAGCCCAAAAGGAAGAGACAAGAAAAGAAAGATCCGCAACCTAAAAAGCCATCGTCTTCACTCTCGGCTGCGGCAGCGATGATAGGGGCGCAGAGGTTGTCATCGATGTTCACTTCGTCGGTTTTTAAGAAAAGCAGGGATGATAAGGCTAAGGGGTTTTCTTCTGATAGCATTGTTGATGATGTTATTGCGGAGTTTGCACCGGATGAGACTGACAGACTAAGACGTAGACGCGGGCCAGCAAATCCTTCTTCAGGTGCGAACAATGCTCAGCCGATTAATAATGTTAAGATCGAGGAATCATCGATTGGATGTCCTGATCCAACAGGAGGTCCTTTGTCGTCGGATTCTGTCGCAAATGGCAATTATGAATCCGCCAGAGTAGTGAAAAACGATGGTTATGGCTTGGGTTCCGAGCAGAACTACGGAAGAGTCAAAGTAGAGGAAACTGCTAAAGAATCAGAAGATGGAAGAACTGTTAATTCCGACGATGGTCTGGCATCAATCATGCAAACCCCTAGCGGTCCAACAAACGGAGATGTGACTGAAGAGAAAATGTTAAAGGATGTTGAGGTAGAAGCTAAACAAACAATTGAGAAGGAGGTATTTCCTCTGAATGCGAAAGTGAAGGAAGAGGACCCTGCACTGAGTGCGACTGCTGGTTGGCAGGCAGCAAGGAGCGGGGGGGATGTCAATGCTGCTGATTCAAAAGTGGCCGACGAAGCTTTAAATAGTGAAGAAAACTCACAGTTCAATCTGGAGGCTGATGGGTCTCTGCCTTTCTACATACTTGATGCCCATGAGGAATTCTATGGAGCTAACACGGGCACCCTGTATTTGTTTGGGAAGGTAATTTGCTTATTTTCCATGTTTAATTTCCAGCCAGTGACTCTTAATTTTACTTCTTTTTTGAAATTATAGTCTCAGCTATATTAAACATAATAGGTTCATGGGGAAGAACCCTCGCATAATGTTTTCTCGCAGTAAATCCAGCATTAAGAGCTTGTGAGGGGTAGGACCCTAGAAGGATGAAAACTAGGATAAAGATCTCGTTGTCATGTTTGACAAGCTCCAATATAAGCAGGGACTAATTTTTGCAATTCAATTTTAATTATCAAACCCAGTGCACGATGATGCGTACTTTTTGTCTTTCCCCTTGTTGTTTTAGTTTTCTGGTTCTAATTATCAACATGGCATCTTTTCAAGTGCCGACGAATGTTATTTTTCTAGCCTCTTTGGATTTAAGCACTGCAAAGTGTCAGCCACCTACCCATCACTGCCCACTTGTGCGTAACCTGGATGTGAAAAGTTCACTGACTGGAATTCTTATTGAGAATCAGGTCAAATCAGGTAATTCGTATCAGAGTTGCTGTGTTGTTGTAAAGAACATGCAGAGGTGTGTCTATGCAATTCCAAGCCATCCTTTAAATCACACTGATGAGATGATGGAACTTGAGAAGGATGTTGAAGAATCTGGAATTTCTCGTACAGACTTTCACAAAAAGCTGCAAGTTAGTCTTTACTTTTGAAATAGATTCTCACTTTGTCTTGGTTATATTTCCCCTCACTTTCAATAATTTTTTGCTGGCCTGCGGCTGCTAATGCATTCTGTCTTTTCCCTTCTAAAAATTTTAGGATATGGTGTCTGGTTTAAAGAATGAGATAGCAAAACAACTGTTAGATCTGAACGCTTCAACCTTTAGCATGAAACCTGTTAAGGTTTGTTGATAGAAACATCTGATGTCTCAGAGGGTTCATAATTGTTTCTTGGATACTTTTGTGTCCCGTATATTTATTGCTCATTCCACTGTTCTGATTTCTTGGTCATATGCATGTTATGGGAATGCCTTGCAGAGGAAGTATGCATTTGAATGTTCTGAAATACCTGCCGGTGAAAATTATGTGCTGAAAATCAACTATCCATTCAAGGTACATTACTCAATATATAATTATTCTCTAGCAAAATAAATTATAATGCCAAAGCGCATCTTTATTCATTGATGTCATGAATTCATTATACAAGTGACTTATTTCAATCTGTATTTTTTCAATTGTTTAATCTTGACTGCTACTGATAATTTTGATCCAGGATCCACCCCTTCCAGTAGATCTGAAAGGAGAGAGTTTCTGTGCTCTTCTAGGAACTCATTGCAGGTATATATTTTTAGAGAATCTGAGTAGTCCTGTTTCAGTAATTATTAGAACATGAAATTTGAAGACAGACAAGTGAACCAGTCTTTCATAAACTTAGGAGCCTAATTTTTTATTTAATACTACCTTGACGTCTAGTTTTTTAATGCTAACCTGCTTACAAGCTGGTTTTTCATTGCGTTAGTGAGTATAGGATTTATGCATCCTGATTCAGTACCTTTAGCTAACATTTCATAATCTGGTTAAGGTGCATTTTTGTGTGAGAAGTGTCTGTAAATTCAACATTTAATTGCTTTGAGAAAAAGCATGTGAACTGACTTCATCACCACCTGCAGTGCATTGGAGCTTTTTCTAATTAAAAGAAAGATAAAGGGGCCTTCATGGCTACTGCTGTCAAACTTCACTTCCCAACTTGCTTCTCGAAGGGTGAGTTGAGTTTGGCTACTACAAGAAGTAATATATTCTTTTGTCTTTATAATTCTTACACCTCAATATTGAATCATAGCACTGCATTTGCAGGTTAGCTGGTGCAAATTTGAAGTGATTGTTGACTCTCCTAAATACATAAGGATTTCAACTTCCTCCAAATCTAGTTTTGAGATTCCTCCTGTGGTTGTCACAGCTATAAATTTGAAAACCATCATAAATGAAAAACAAAACTTAAACGAGATTGTCTCTGCATCCATAGTATGCTGCCAAAGGGTGAAGGTTTGTTTTTGGTGCTCGGTGTCGTTGTTTGGCTCTCTTATTATCATATGAATGCAGTGGTAGTGTGCTAGTTCATCTTTTGTATTTGTGATGACCTCAAGTAGTATTAATGTGTATTCAATATTCTGTATGTAATTATTGTCATGATCATAACTATGTATTTTTCTACTTATATGCATAGTAATGAACACAACAAATCTATTTTTCAGTCACCTTTGATTTACGATCTATATTTCTTGAGTCAAGATGTTCTTTCAAAAGTATTTCTTGCTTGTGTTTTCTTGGATAAGGCACAAATGTTATTTATAATTTATTGCTTGTGTTTTCTTGAATATCTGTCAATGAGTTATTTGAATGGCTAGAGTTACTTGCATCTATGATCCACTACTGAACATTCGATTGCTTCATAAATTGAACATTCAATGGCAACTGCATGACATTGAATTAAGTGCCAAACTAGTGCTCCCTTAGTAGCTTTCATTATTGATTCACTTTTTGAATGACTGAAGTTTTTAAGTTAACTTTCTACTGTTAGTAGCAAATACAGATATGCAAGTTGGTCATTTTAATATCAACTTGAGGTGATATTGTTATCATTTATATAAACATTGGATGGACAAGATAAGCTTTTATTAGACTGCCTAGTATATCCCAACAAAATGTAATAATTTTCATGTGATTACAACCCAAAGAACCATTCTCAGTTTTATATAATAATAATTTGGATGATGCTTGATGAACATGGAAGTGCCGAAAGAATAAAAATTTGTTTATTTCTTTAGAATCGTGGATGGAAAATACTTGATTGATGAATGATGATTTCCTGTATAAATGAATGAAGTCTGAACTTAGAGCATGACTTTCCCCCATCCCTTGAGCCAATATATGTTTTCCTCTGCTGTCTATTTTGCATAATGTTTATAAATTTACTCACAAAGTCTTCAAATAATTTCAGTCCTACGTCTGATATATTTGAGCAGAAAGTATGATCAGTAGTCAACTTTTTTTGACTTTTCAGATTGACACTCCCATGTTGGCTCCAGAATGGAAGAGACCTGGACTACTGACCCATTTTACTGTTGTCCGTAAGCTTGATGGAGGCATATTTCCACTGGGATTCAATACGGAAGTTACAGACCGAAACACAAAAGCTGGCTCAAATGTTCTCTGCGTTGAGAGCAGGTGGAAACTTTAAATATTATGCTTTTAGTCCTTCTTTCTTATATAAATATTATGCTTTTAGTCCCTTTTTACTAGAAATAATAAAAAAAATCACAAAAATTGCATGCTTTCATCTTGTTTTGACCTGTATTTTGTATCTGCTTTGCAGTGAAAGGGCTTTGCTTAACCGTCTGATGATAGAATTCCACAAGTTGGATAGTGATGTTCTTGTTGGACATAACATCTCTGGATTTGACCTGGATGTTCTTCTTCACAGATGTCAGGTGGGAGTTTTTGCTTTCATGAGAATTGAGTTACTGTGGATGATATGATCTTAAGACTATTTTGAATTTCCTCATTCAATTCATAGCGTGACCTATTATTTGTAGTGTAAAATGGATAATGTCAGGATAAGCTAATAATTAGTCTGAATGATTTTAACTTTAAAACCAATGGCTAGACATGCTCTTTTTAATTAGAAGAATTGAGAAATTAAATGGTCATTAATGATCTGATTTCTTAATGTTGATGGATATGTTGGTAAGATATGCTAGTAATCATGGATTAGACTGTAATTTTGATGTATTCAACTTGATCAATGCTAATTGCTAAACTACGATATATATATATATAGCTTAGAAATATACTTGTGCAATAGCCTACTGGGCCAGGTCTAGCATCTAAGCCCACAGCACCTATTCACTAACAAGATAAATTGAACATACTCCCTCTAGTCTCTATTGTAAGACACACCTGACTACCTCATTGAAACCAATGAGAGATGGTTAAGCTTTAACTTTGAAAATAAAATAAACTTCTAATTTTACCCCTATTTAAAAGTAAAATTTTTAAATTTGCATTACATTCTCTCTCTCAGTTAATGAGTTTAAATAGGGGTAACATTGAAAAAAATGTAATAAATGCCTCATCAAGTGTCTTATATTGAGGATTTAAAAAGGTGCCTTATAATTGGGACTGGAGGGAATTTTTCTTCAGATAGAAATAAATGGAGAATTAGGATGCATTTGGAGATCTGAATTAATATCGATTAAGGATTCTTGTAGGTTGTCCAAAGTTAAGCTATCTGTGTAATTTATTTTTTGTTATTTACCTTTCCAGAGTGGGAAGTTGGTAACTGTTTTCCAATTGCTGAATTGTTGAATGGACCTGGTTGCTCATTACTTGCTATGAAACTTGAAAGCAGATGCATTCTTTCTTTTTTCCTGCATAAACAATGAAGGGGAAAAATCACATCGGGCAGTTGCTCTTTCATTGGGTAGATTTTGTAACTTAACAAATTGCCTTCATCATAAGCGCATGAAAATGGCTGTCATTTTGCATGAATGTCCCTGAATGTCCTCATAGTCAGATAATTATTTTACTGTAACATCCATTATGCTATTCCGATAATGGATTCTGTTGTGATCTGTATGACTTGTTCTTTGCATTTTGGAGGAGTCTCGTCACCTAAAACACCCAATAACTCTCCTCATGCAGGCTTCTAAAGTGCCAAGCAGTATGTGGTCCAAAATAGGCCGCCTTAAACGCTCTGTGATGCCTAAACTTACCAGATTAAGCTCTGTTTTTGGTTCTGGAGCTACTCCTGGCATCTTGTCTTGCATTGCTGGTCGTCTTCTTTGTGATACATATTTGTGTGCGCGTGAACTATTAAAGGAGGTACGGTATTTGTTGGCAAACTACACCCACCAGTAACTTGATTTTTATGCTTATTTTGTAACCCTATTGTTTTGATTCTTCCAGGTTAGTTACTCTTTATCTCAGCTATCAAAAACTCAGCTGAATAAAGTTCGAAAGGAAGTTGCTCCTCATGATGTTCCGAAAATGTTCCAATTTGCAGAATCCCTTATGGAACTTGTAGGTGCCAATCTTTACTAAAGCTCCTTTTTCCCTCATCATAAGAAAATCAGGTTTCAACACTTTTTTTTTTTTAAATATGTATGCATGCAAGGTACAACCCCTTTGATGCTGCACTAGACTAGTTGAATTGCTTATTTGAAGACTTATTTTGTATTATTTCAAATGAAAAGTTTTGTTGTAAAATGATATGTGAGTGGTCCAATTCTGATTTCTTAATCAATATTTTGGACATATTTCTATTTTTTTATTTTTTGGGTAAAGACCAACCTTCTTTTCTTTTATTTTTCTGAAGAAAGGTGAAAACTTATATTAGCTTAAAATCCATAAACAACAAAAGGGGCATTACCCCACAAAAGAACACAAGAAGTGTAAACACAAAGTCAAGGTCTGTAGAATGAAAAACACCTTTATTTTTTAACATCAGAGTTTGCAAAATGAAAAGTGAAACTAGATAAGACATGCTAAAGAGTGCAGTCATTTACAATATTAAAATGTCATATTTTGCTTGATTTTAAGAGTGCACTCATTATTTGATATTTAAAATATCTTTTTTGTTCTAATTTTTTCAAGTCTCAAGAGCTGGTTAGACCATGTACATCTGGAACGTACATTGATCAATGATGACAATGGATAAACTTAACTTTATGTTGGTTCTCATAGTATTGTTGATTTGTGCAGATTGAGTATGGCGAGACAGATGCATGGTTGTCTATGGAACTCATGTTTCATTTGAGTGTTCTACCCCTCACGCGTCAGCTGACTAATATTAGTGGTAATTTGTGGGGAAAAACTCTTCAGGTGAGCCCTCAAATCTGAAGCAGTTGTTTGAACAAGTTGATGATGGAAATGTCCTAGCAGGTGTTAAACCTCACATCTATTCTTTCCCCTTTCAGGGTGCAAGGGCACAGAGAGTGGAGTATCTTCTGTTGCATGCTTTCCATGCAAAGAAATATATTGTGCCAGACAAGATTCCTTCCCATGCCAACGAAAGAAAATTGACAAAACGCAGAGGAACTCATGGTGTTGAGGATGTTAGCTTTGAGGAAGTGGATGTTGACAATACACGCTATGACAATGATGCTCCTGACAGTGATCATGGTAAAAGCAAGAAGACTCCTTCCTATGCTGGAGGACTGGTTTTGGAGCCTAAAAGGGGTTTATATGACAAATATATATTGCTCTTGGATTTCAATAGTCTTTATCCTTCTATAATTCAGGTTAATAACATTTTTCTAATATTCTAACAATTAGTGTCATTTTTTAACTGCTTATGCCTTTTCAATTTTACTTTGTTGGTCTCATTTTTTCAGTAGTCTTTTTTCAATAAGGGCAATTTCTAGATCTCTGTCATCTTAACGACCTAATTTACAGGAATACAATATCTGCTTCACGACTGTTGAAAGATCTACAAATGGATCCTTTCCTCGTCTGCCATCTAGTAAAACAACTGGAGTTTTGCCAGAGGTAAATTGCTACAGATCGAAAATTTCCTTTCACAATTCTCCTATTTCCTTCTTTTTGCATGATTTAGGGTATCCTGGCAAGAGTATCTATGCAAGATTTCTTGCTTCTTTAGACTAGTCTAACATTCATCACTTAAGTTAAAAGAGGCAGTAATGATTTTTTTCCCTTAAAATTTTAGTGCATTTCCATTTCCAGCATTGGGTGTACGCTTTTGAATTGGATGCTTTTAACCTAGAATGGCACATCTTTTAGGATTCTCATCAGTTGACGCCAAGATAATGTGGCCTCCACCATCCCCCCCAATCCTATCCATGCATATATATGATTTGAATTTGTTTTTTTCCTGCTAGCTGCTGAAAATTTTGGTTCAAAGGAGGAGAATGGTAAAATCGTGGATGAAAACTGCTTCTGGTCTTAAAGTTCAGCAACTAGACATTCAGCAACAAGCACTTAAGCTTACTGCAAACAGGTTGGTGTCATTTTCTGGCTTTAGTTTACTTACTGAGAAATCTTGGTACTCAATGGCATTCAATTCTTTCCTCTCTATATATAACAAATATGGTGGGCGGTGCAGCATGTATGGATGCCTTGGATTTGCTAATTCAAGATTTTATGCAAAACCACTGGCTGAGCTTATAACCCTGCAAGTAAGAACAATATATTTGCTTATTCAACATTAACAGTGGCTGTCTTGCTCTCAATTCAACATGAAAACAGATATCATTAATGAGTCTCGTGACTGTGTAGGGAAGGGAGATATTACAAAGTACTGTTGATCTTGTTCAGAATAACTTGAACTTAGAGGTTAATTCTTCTCCATTTTTTATTGAAGTTATTGTAGCAGGCTTTTGGTACATATATGCACTATTTTAATTCGAGAATAATAGCTCTTGACTGTTGTGCTGTTCCATTTCATAGGTGATATATGGCGACACTGATTCAATAATGATTTACAGTGGACTAGATGATATTGCAAAAGCAAAAGCAATGGCTGGAAAAGTGATTCAAGAGGTAGGATTCAACTTTGAGGGGTGCCTAGCACCTTGGAAGCTACTCCCTTTAGTCCTTATTGTAGGGCATTTTCAATTGTTTCGCTTGTCGTAAGAAAAATTAGCTTTTCTCTTGATACCATAAAAAAATAAGATGTACTTTCATCTTAAGAAAGGGTAAAATTAGAAAAAGTGATTTAATTATTACAAGGCGTCTGGCATTTCCGACCAAAAATTATTTAGATGTCCTAAGAATAGGACCATAGGGAGTATATAAATCTACTTGTGGGGTTTTTTTGGGCTTTCCTGTGCTCAAAACATGTACTAATTTTTAGCATTTCAGAATTTTATATTTGTAATCCTTGATTAATGCAAGGGCTTACGAGACGTGAACTTGGACACCCTACTATAGAACAAGGCCTTTAAAAAAGTGGAGGGTTGAATTTGTTCTTTATTTGTTCCTTGGCCTGCGCTAGTTGCAACTATAAATGACTTCAACATGTGTGTATTTTTTTCTGGGCTAAAGTTCGTATTAGCAGTAACATCTCGCTTACTTTGGCTTTAGGTCAACAAGAAGTATAGGTGCTTGGAAATTGATCTGGATGGTTTGTACAAGAGAATGCTGCTTCTTAAGAAAAAGAAGTATGCAGCTGTCAAGGTGCAGTTCAAAGATGGCACACCATACGAGGTATTTCATCTTTTTTAAAGTTTACTATTTTCCTAGTATCTTGGGATGAGATCCTGTGGGATTTGTTAATCGTGCAGGTTATTGAACGTAAAGGTCTGGACATTGTTCGTCGTGACTGGAGCCTATTATCTAAAGAAATAGGAGATTTTTGCCTTGGTCAAATTTTGTCAGGAGGGTGTGTATTCTAACTTTTGTCCACTGATATTGATTTTGCCCAACTGGGAATTTGAGAAGCAAGATTCACTCATTTATCTAGTAGAAATATGGTTCTTGTACTTACAGGTCATGTGAGGATGTTGTCGAGTCAATTCACAGCTCTCTTCGTAAGGTATGCTCTTTTTTTTTTTTTTTATAAATATTTCTTTGCATATGATAACCTGTTATGCAATTTGAGAGTTTAAAAGGAAGAAGCTTCTTAGAGCTTTGGGCTTACAAATCCCTGCTACGATGGTGTGGATTTTATTAAATGTATTTCCTCTGGAAAAGCATCGAGGTTTATTGGAGATATGTTTATCGTAGAGACTTCTATCCCTTAAAAATTTTAATTTGTCATTTCAAAATAGAAGGTCCAGGTTCTCCTTGGAATGACGTGTGAAAATTAAAACAGGTGCAAGAAGAGATGAGGAGTGGGCAAGTGCCGTTAGAGAAATATATCATCACTAAGACATTGACTAAACCTCCTGAAGCCTATCCAGATGCCAAAAATCAACCGCATGTTCTTGTGAGTTCAATTTATTTGTTCCTTTTACTTGTAACAGTCACTCATCTCAATTTTCTTTTCTTGCATTTTGTTGTGATTTAATACATTTTAAAGATGCCGTTGTGGATCATTATTTAGGTGGCACAAAGATTGAAGCAAAAGGGCTACTCCAGCGGTTGCTCTGTTGGTGATGCAATCCCCTACATTATTTGCTATGAGCAGGTTTGTCCATTAGTTGCTGCTCTCAATCAGAGACCAGAGGCTGAAACGTTGAAAATGTATTACTTCACATTTGATATGTGATGCTGATCATGCATGACCTGACCTCTTTTCTACTATTTTCCACTCTAGCAGGGCAGTAATTCAACCAGTGGAACAAGTATTGCTCAGCGTGCTAGACATCCCGAGGAACTAAAACAAGAGCAAGGGAAATGGATGATTGACATTGATTATTACTTGTCACAACAGGTATCTTATAAGGCAAATCAGAACTAGCCATTGCTACTCACGGTACCTTGCTTGAGTAATTCTCCTCATCTTGCAGCTTCATCCTGTTGTATCACGTCTCTGTGCATCAATTCAGGGGACGAGTCCAGAAAGACTGGCTGATTGTTTAGGGCTCGATGCATCAAAAGTATAACCGCTTTCCTACTGTGTTGATCTGCATCTTGAGACAATTAATGTTTTACCTTTAATTTCAATTGCATTTCTGAATTGACAAGTTGTTAATGGCTTACAGTTTCAACACAAATCCAGTGAAGCCTTCAATGGTGATCCTTCAAATTCACTCTTGTTTGCTGCTGAAGACAAAGAGAGGTAGCCACAACTTGAGTCTAAAATTGCTGCCCTACTATTGGTCACAAGTCTTGTGCATGTACAAAATTCCTACCAATGGTTATTTGAATATTTGAATATGAACGCATTGATTTCTTGATAAATAAATATTTAAGATGTTACAGATGAGCAGCAGATATTTGGAACTAGCATGTTTTTTCTTTTTTTTTTTGTTTTGTTTTTTTTTTTTTTTTTGAGATGGAAACATGCTATCATGGAATTTTATTTTTCCTTAGTCTAGCTTATCTTACAAATATTTTATATACTTGATCAACTTCTGTGTTACGATTTGTTCATGCTGGGAAGTTCAGATTACTGTTATATTTCCTACGAGGCAATTTGATTAATATTTATTAACGAATTAAATTAAATGTGATAAATCAAATTGCAGGTATAAAGGATGTGAGCCATTGGTTTTGTCATGTCCTAGCTGCTCTGGTACTTTTGACTGTCCTTCCATCTTTAAATCTATTTGTGAAAGTGAAAAGCCAACAAGCTCAGGCATGGAGGAGTCCAGCTACAATTTCTGGCGTAAGCTGCGCTGTCCTAAATGCCCAGAAGAAGATGGTGTTGCCAGAATTTCTCCTGCCATGATTGCCAATCAGGTTTTAACTAGTTTAAAATGTCATCTTTATCCTTGGATATTTTGTTTTAGTGCATTTGAGGCGGGGAGTTTTTAAATTTCAAATCATAAAAGCATTAGTTTTTTGATCTGGCTTGGCATGAAAGATTGTTAGCAGCATTTTGGCTGATACTTGATTATACTTTATCTCAGGTCAAAAGGCAGGCAGACAAGTTTATTTCAATGTACTACAGAGGCTTGTTAATGGTAATCAGCCTCTCCAATATTATCCGAAGCATTTGTTTGTAAAGTGAATAACGATCGTCGCAATCTTATTTTGCTTCCAGTGTGACGATGAAACTTGTAAGTATGCAACACGAAGTATCAACCTTCGGCTGGTTGGTGATTCTGAAAGAGGAACTGTTTGTCCAAATTATCCTCGCTGCAATGGACGTCTTCTAAGACAGGTTTTACTCGTAGACACAAACCATTTATGTCTCTGGTATTATCCGACGCATATTCGCAAGATTTTAGTGATTTGCATTAGTTCGATTAACCTGAGTTTGTTGCTTCTCTAGTACACGGAGGCGGACTTGTACAAACAGCTTTCATACTTTTGCCATGTGTTGGATACTGTTTCCTGTATAGAAAAGGTACTTCTAAAGCACACCCCTTGCACTCGTAATTTTTCTTCTGTTGTAACCGTCTGATAGTGTGCTTAATTAGTTAATTTTATATTGCTGCTCGGGTTCGCAGATGGAGGATAAATCTAGGATACCGCTTGAGAAAGAGTTGTCGAAAATTAGGCCAATGATTGATCTGGCAGCATCGACGATACAGAAGATTCGGGATAGGTGTGCCTTTGGGTGGGTGCAGATGCAGGACTTGGTCATTGCTGTGTGATTTACAAGTACAATGCCAATTTTGGCTGGGTTGATAGTCCATGCAAAATGACGTTTCGCCTTTCCTTGTAAAATCAACACTAGCTAGCTCTTCCAACAAATCTTGATAAGTTGATATCATCATCTTTCTTGTGCGTTGTCATCGAGTTCGGTTGAAGATATGGGGAGTGCAAGCCGCTATAGTACAACTTCTGGGCATTTTTGTTTTGGCCAAAACAGGTTTAGTTATATGTATATATTAGGAGTAGAAAAATCTATTTTTTTTAATTATTAATTATATCTTTTTATACAAATTATTTTGCTAACATAATATCAGTAGTGGGATTTAAATTCATGATTTTGTATGTCATGGATGAGTTCTTTGTTCGCCGTGACATTTTATTTACCTAGCCATTGCAGCTCTTCAATTGATGCTTCCTTGGGCCATAGGATGAAATCATATATTGCTTTGTACCTACGCTAGCCTGCACAATATTAAGGAAGAAGGGATGTGAAGAACGATGCAAGGGGCATGATACAATTATATTTTTTAAAATGAGTTGAAAATGTTTCTTTAAATTTTATAATTGATTTCGTATCAAATGGATAGTCTTATATATATATATATAGAATGCAAGTATTTAACATCCCTAATACCAACATGGATGCTGAATATTATAACTCCAGCCAATCATTTCAAACACATACGTCGCATGATAACTTTAGATTTGATGACTTCCTGGGATTTGGGATGGTCAGGAAAATCTTAGCTACTCAAGTTGTATGCTTGTAATTGTTTATAAGGAACATGATAATCGTCTTTCATCTCCTTTTCGTTCCTACCAAAATATATAAATAATAATGAAATCTCTTGAAATATCAATTTTTTTCTTAAATTCTTGAGGATTTCTGTCAATGGATTGTGAAGTGAAAAGACTTTTGTACCCTTGTAAAAATATGAAGTCCTTGGCTTCAAAAAACAATCACGACTCCTCTTCTTGTCTGCATCCTCCCGTGTTTGAGCAAACTGAGGATCTGTTGCATCGTTGGCCTCTTTTTCGATGATTTTGTCATGCACAAGTACGTGACTTGGAGGCTTTCCGTCATCTCTCTCCCCGACTCCCCACTACTATTTTTTAGCCTCTCGTCCAACACACGCACCCCATTGCCCTCCTTCACTATTTTCCTCACCACACCACTGTCTCTGTTGTGCCTGCTCTCCCCCTCAAGAGCTCCATCAGCAAGATGCCCAAATTGTAAACGTTCATCTTTATTGTGCAATTCGAGTTATCTTATCGTCCGATTTTTTGAAAACCAAAATTGGTGATTTGCGGCTTGGAAGTTGTCGGCGAGCAAGATAAAATTTTTATCTTGCTTCCCCACGAGCTCACCCTCCCCCTCATCATGCTTCCCTTGCCCCTTTCTTCCTTGTCTTAGCTTCTTCCTCCATCCCATGGGAGATGCTCCTTTATTTTCTTTTGTTTGGTTTTAAAATTCGGACACAATTTTTATCGCTATTGTAATTTTCAAATTCATAAAGCTGGCCCATTTTTTAGTGCTGTCCAACATGTAATAATATAATGGAATCAATGAATGAATAATGCCATTAATCAAACCTCAGACAAGTCACTTTGCCATCGTTGTTTCAAAATGAAGGAAAAAGAAGGGGTTGAGCATAGCAATGGAAGTTGACAACTCTGATCAAAGAACGAATAACAATGATGGTGGGATTAAATGTGACTGTACAAATTCAATTTTTTTCCTTGATAGTTCTCAACTATTAGTCTTCCTGAAGAACATGGAAGAGAAAGGAAGAGAAAGAGGGGATGGAAAAGGAGGTTGGTGTCTGAACTGAAAAAGGAAGAAAGGACGCGCCAATGTATTCAGAAGCCAGGACTTTTATTTTCTTTAAGGGAAAAAACAGCGTTTTTTTTTTTTTACAAGTTATTGATAGAAAAATCTGTTGAGACTTGAAAGAACTCATGACATTTTAAGAAATCTCATTATCATTAATATGTTTCGATGAAGTTTGTCATTTTCCTTGATTTATTTATTTGACTAATTCTTGTTATCAATATTATAAACTTTTTCTTTAAAAAATTAGAGGGAATTCTATTTATAAAATGCATTGTTTACAATTAATGAATACAACACAATTGAGCTGTGAAAAAAAAATGCAAGCCAACGACTATGACATTGTCCTTATTGTCAAGTGGGTTCAAGATTGTATACTACCTCTGGTGATTAAAAAAAAAACAAAGAAAGGTTAGGGGTTAAAAATATCTTTAAAACATACACGAAAGATTATAAATAATTCTAAAATTAATTGAGTTAATTTTATTCTTTAATTTTAAAAATTTGATTACCTGTGCCCCTAACGTTATTTTTCTGTTAAGTAGATCTCACATTTAAATATTATAATGTTTTTTATTATAAAATATTGAAGTGGGTCCCACAATTTTTTTAATATTTTCCCTTCCCCCACCCCCTCCTCTTCTTCTCCCTTCGCTCTCTCACCTTACCACTGCACTCGCTCATTGGAGAAAAAGAAAACATAGATGCATGAAATAGGCTCTCCACTTCATCATCTTTGAGTGTAAAGAACCTGGCTGAAAAACGTGAAGCCCCAAGACACAAGAGAAACCCAAGCAAGAACCATGGTCTTGGTCTAAGATTGAAAGAGTCTTTGCTCTGACACTAACACGGGCTCTCCTAAGAACTTCAAAATCAGAGAAGCGAATAGAAATAGAGGTAATGAGATAAATGTAAACACCCAACGTCTGGTATTTCTTAGCTCGGAATGCTTGCTTGCAAAGAGTTTCCAATGCACCAACCATTCCCAACTAAACCATTCACAAAAGGTTTGATCTTCAGATATATCTAAGAAAACAAAGGATCTGAAAAGTGGAGGAAGACAAGAAGTGAAAGCTTAGCTACCCACAGCGAGTTTTCTGTAACTGGCCTTATGTCGTCCAATACCTTAGTAAGAGGAGAAAGCTTTGAACGTTTAGTGCTACATGAGGCAAGAGCCAAGCACAACACTAAGAATACCAACCTCATTATCGCATTGTCAACAAGGTTAAGGATCTAAAAGAGAGGAGAGGGTGAGATAGGTGAGAAGGAGAGGGCATTGGTGAGGATTTTAGGAACGCCGTCTGTCGTGCTTGACAATTCACGTGCTGCATGTTCGATTCTAAGAATTCCAAGGATGCGAGTTCAACAACAAAGCATGCATGCATACAAGGCAGGGGACTCGCCGGTGTTCCACAACTTAAGGCACGAATCAAGGATTGAGGACATGTCCTTGGCAAGTCTCTTTCTCTTGGAACCAAGCTCCATGACCCTATTGATACTTGCAGTAGCAATACTATTCTTGACTTGCCATTTGCGCACAGAAAAAAGGGGGGGAGAGAGGATGGAAAGAGAGAGAGGGGAGGGAGAGTATGGATTCATTGGTTGAGGGAGAGGGTGATTTGCACCAACTTTGTGATAAAAGGTAAATTATGATGCTGCAAGAGGACTTAAGGAAGCTTAAGAGCGGCGACTATGGCAAAAATGAAGAGTGGGGGAGAGAAGAGGGAAGGAGACAACATAAAGGAGAGAAGAGTGAGGTAAAAAAGTATATTCTGAAAAAAATTAGTAAGACCTACTATATCATATTTCACAATAAAAAGTATTAAAAAAAATTAAATGTGAGTCTCACAAACCCAAAAAAAAAAAGATGAAAAAAACTTCAAAATAATAGAGCAGCGAATTTTTAAAGTTAAAATATATACAAGACTCAGTTTGCTTTAAAGTTACTTGTGACCTTTCATGCATGATATTTTTTTACCTTTAACCCAAAATAAAAATACAACAAAATTTGCCACAAATATTTCACCTGTAGTTACCAGTTGCTGGTAATGGGTTAAATGTGACATCATAGTTATGAGTATAAATTATGAAATAAAAAAAGTGTCTAACCATAAGAAAAGAGGGTTCAAATTCAATCCCGCATCATATATATAGAGTTGTGGCATCATACTCATTGGAGGCACACTGGACTTCAGGAAAGTGGCCGACAGAAACTAGAATCCGATCCCTTGCAAAAGAATAGGAAAAAGGGTTTCAAGTTACAATGCTACGTGCTACGAAGAACAAAACTATCCAGGAGGATAAAATAAACAAACAGATAATCCTAAAGCTGAAACCATCAGAGATCTTTTGAGTATTGTATGTATTCAGCAGTCCGTACAAAAGGCTGCCGTGATGCCTGGCACATACTGTAGATGTGGACTAGTATTTAACACGTACGAGATGGTGGAGATCAATTCTTTTCCCCACAAGCGCATTGGCGTGTGACGGGCACATGATCCCCCCCCCCCCCAAAAACAACCAAAAAAAAAACCACTTCAAAAAAGATATGGAAGCTCGCAAACTTCAAAAACTAGGTTTTGCTGTCTTGACGTCGTCTTCGCATACACTTTCTCCCGTCAGAAATCTGGTGAAACGCTTGTAACAAAAACGTTTAAGAGTAGGTGCGTGCATGGTGACAATTATGGTACATAAAGTGTGTTATTTCATACAGAGCATTCCAAAAATTACCTCTTAAACCGCGACGTAATGGTAACGTTGTGTACGCTATTTCTTAGGATCTTGTCCTGCTCCTTCGGCGTTTGCATATCAAAGGCGTGTGTTACTGCAAATTCAAAATTTGGAGAATCAAGGCAAAAGAATAAAACTAAACTGAAGGCCGTTTAGAGTTGCTGGATTCTAAAATATGCACACCTTGAGAACCACCTAAAGGATTGGTATCTGAATGGTTCGCATTTAATTGCTGGTGCCGCAGTATCTCATCACTATGCATCTGCTTATTAATTGAAACTAACATCACAAGAGACCTCTTAAAATGCGTACATGTGTTGCTCACAAATTCAAGCTTACCTCAGAAGCTGTTTTCTGTTGAAAGGATCTTATTTGCGGCAGAACTGGGGATTCTAGCCCAAAAGAAGTTTCTGGGTTGATTGTGTACGACGGAGAGGGCACTAATGGTTGGTCCTGTGTATTGAGTTTGTTAGGTAGACTGGATTTGGACTCGTATTGTAAGGGATTTTCTTGGGTCACAGGCAGAGTAGTTGCCATGCTTAAAGGCAAAGACCCGTTTTCTTCATTGAGTTCAGATCTTATCTGACAGAATTGCTGAGCCCGCAAACCTTCAGCATAGCACATAGGATGCAAACTCAAACCATTTCTCATTGTCAGCATCTGAAATATTAATAATGTAAACAAATCAGAAACAAGTAGAGCAGAGCAGATATGTTGTTCAGATTGTGAGCTTGAAGGGTTGGTTCGGGATAATTTGCTATGTTTTAAAAGCTCACTTGGGAGTTTTAGAATAGGAATTCAAAGCTGGCATCGAGCCGGAAGGGTGAAGGTTCGCTCAAGGATAGGGTGCCAGAATCTAAACATAAAATTATTCAGCAACAGGACATCAAACACTAAGCAGCCAAAAAAGAGGTTCTTTAGTAATATGATGGCCGGCAAAAATAGGTAACCCCAAATTACGGTCCCATGTTTAGAACCTAATCTGGATACTAACAGTCAATCTTTCAAATGGGCCATTTCTTGGTATAACGTGCAATTTTACACGAGTAGGACAAGGCTAGAAGTTACACATAGGATAATAAAGCAACGAAAAATTGAAGACGCACACCTGTACTTGAAGCTGAAGCTGCTTCAAATATTCAATAGCTTCATCCAGCATCGAAGCCTTGTCCGTCTGCATCAGGCATAAACAAATTTACAACTGTTAGAACAAGGACTCAAAGTACATTCACCGATAAAATTGAGTGAAGAAGAAACTTGCGGACCTTGTTCGAATTTGGAATCAGATTTTGCAATGCCTTCATTTTTTCGTTGATCCTGCTTCTCCTTCTCTGATCGGATATCCCACCACAGATATAGCACAAAAGCAATGAGCATAGATGTGATCAACGGAACCCATGTAGGGAAATCAGCAAGTGTAAGTCACTAACCTTTTCAGACAAATTATGAACTTCCGCAGCTCTGCTTCTCTTTGATGAACTCCTCGGAGGAACTGACTTTACCGGCTGCCGTTCCACCAATGCTTCGATCCCCTCCTACATTTGCAAAGGTCGCACAAAGATCCGGGTTTAGGAGTGATCAAGAATCAAAATGCCATTCTTTTTATCCCCCACGCTCTCGGCTACCAAACAGAGAGCTAAGTGAAATTCAACACTAAATCGTGCTTCCGAATAAAGCGTATAAAAACCAAGAAAATGATTCAGTGATGTCAGGGTTAAAATCCATGCTAGACCTTTAACCTGACAAGGTAATAACAGGCATGCATCTGAAATATTATGGTAACGGACATAAGTATTAGAGACTGAGCAGGTGAATAAACCGAAAGATAGACATATAAACAAAAGCTTTAAACTTTTACCTCGCTCTTGCAATCATACTCATCGAACCACTCATTGTCACTTACTCCAAAAGATGACGAAGGCATGTTTTCAACAAAACTACCCTTCGCATTGGCCGACGTACAAGTCCCCGAAGAGGAAAGAAAAACATCGTTCGGAGCGGTAACTCCAACGGAGGAATCAACGATTGCAACGCCATCTTGGAAAAGGTTGGCTCGGTGGGAAGGGCGAGCATTCTCCGGCGTGGCGTGGGAACTGCAGAGTCCGGCCACGTAGGTGGGGGCGTTTTTAGCCGTGTGGGTCACAAGCAGCGACGATGATGCCGACGAGGAGGATGAACGAAGGAGAATCTGACGCAGAAATAGCGAGATTTCGTCCTGAGTTGAAGATGAGGAAAGAGATGAGGTTGAAGACGCATTATGATTGTTGGTATCATCATAGTCACACGTACAGAGAGTCGAGAGTATTTCTACGTGCTCCTGCGTTTCTTCTTCTTCTTCTTCTTCAGAGTTGGCCGGGAAGGGATTAGTTTGGGGGGGATGCTTGGCTTGCCATTAGAAACAGAGGAGGAAGAGGATATGGGGAATTGTGAGCGGCGTCGTCAACGCGCCTGAAGCGCGAGTGGCGAAATGAAAATGGAAAGGCCAGAGGAAGAAGGAAGAGAGGAAGACAGCAAATAATATTTGGTTGGTTTGATTTCAAGTGTCAGTTGCAAAGGTCGCACGAGGGGCACAATAGCATTTGACCACCCTTCTTCTTTTTCTGTCATTCGTACAATCGCCATGTTTCTTTATTAGTCCCGTACTCTCTCCTATGCATTCTCTTCTCCATCACTCACCCCCACCTCCAATTTTTTTTTTTCAAGCGCTTTTTTATAATTAAAATCACATAATAAAGTCACTGTAACTCTCAAGCATTCGGATGCATCTAGAAATAATAGCTTTATCCATGTCTTATCATTATCAATGACATTATTTACTTTTTTTCATTTAAAAATATAAAATATTTTTAAAAAATTAAATATTAAAAAAATATAAAATATTTTTAATTTTTTAAGATGTAATAATTATCTTTTTTTCAAAAATAACCATATTAATAATAACTTTATATTTATTATAGGGTATTTAACGAGGATAAATATAAAAAATAAAGTTAATTAAAAAATAAATAATTACTTTATTAAAAGATAAAATTTAATTAAAAATATTTTATATTTTTTAACGAAAAGAATTTCAACTAAAGTTGGGATCTATTAATGTCAATGTCGATATAAAACTAGTTATTGTAAGCAATTACATTATTATAAAATGTAAAATACAAAATCTTTAAACAAAGAAAGCCATCAATGATATGAAATATGTTTTTTTTTTTTTTAAAAAGACAAGTGCCTCAAGCGTACATTAGGTGTATCTAATGCACAATACAATGTTGAACATGATAAATTTCATACTCATAATAACATGAACAACATAATACTCATTTATTATGTATAATTCATGGAGTTAAGTTGAAGAATAATATATAAATTTTTTAGGTGTATGTAAAATAAAATATCCATAAAAAACATAGCAAAAACCATGCATAATATAATATTTATTTATTATACATACTGTGTATGGTTATAAACAAATACATCTTTTGACAAAGAAAACATATTTGCAATTGAGCTTCTGCATTTACAAAAATAATTTACAATATATTGGGTCTTATATGTAATTTAGGTGTGATTCTCCCATTTATTTTTATTGAAAAATAATTACTGTTTTACTTATATTTTTCAAAAACTAAAAACAACCTCCACTTAACTAACATTATTATCTCATAAAAAAAAACATAAATTTAGGTCTCTACATTTTATTCGCGTTTTGTTATAAATTTTTATATTTTTTTATATTTTAGGTCAATAAAATTTTTTTAATATTCTAGGTCTCTTTAAGATCCCTACATTTTATTCATAAAAGACCTAAAATATCAAAAAATAAAAATCTAAAAATCTAAAACGCAAAAAAAAAAAAAAATCTATAATAAAATATGAATAAAGTATGGTGAGTTAAAGTTATATTTTTTTAATATAAAAATTATAATTTACAGTTGTTAATCGTTACTTCAGTGTCATGTGCAAGATCCACTTTTTTTTTTGGTCAAAAAGATCCACTTATTTTTATAATAGACTATTAATGCAAAAATAGCTAATCAGAGAAATTCATTTACTTCACTCCGTACAACCACGAAAGCAAGGCCCAAGGATGTCTTGCGATTGGGCTGGCTTCGTTTTCATCGGGACTCTTTAAAAATATAAAATATTTATTAAAAAGTTAAATATTTAAAAATATAAAATATTTTTAATTTTTTAAGATATAATTATTAATTTTTTAAAAGTATCCTTATTAATAATAATTTTATATTTATTATAAAATATTTAATAGGGATAAATATAAAAAGATAAAGTTAGTTAAAAAGTAGATAATTATTTTATTGGGATGAGATTCGATTAAAAATTTCTTATATTTTGAGTGAAAGAAATATTTTTTTTGTTTAAATACTCTTTTTTTTCCTTAATCTAAATAAACATTAGATGTTTCGTGTTAATTCTCTAAAGAATAATCTTATTATGCCACAATGGTGCATTTTTAAAATAAATTTACTATATAAATTCATCAACTTTGGAGTGCAACATATCTACATGTGTATATATCATATAAAAATGACAATAAATAATGTTAACCAAACTCTTAAAAAAAAAAAAAACAGCAGACGCTCGTAGATAATCATGTAGTATTATTTGTTTAGAAAGGATGGGCAATTGATCCGATTCAGACATGTCACTCTCGCCTCCCACCCAACGTCACCTTTAACGGGGCATAAAATAATGGTTCGAAATGTTTATATATTCAGCCACTTCTTGTTAATCGCGGTCACACGTGTCTGAGTCTGATTGGCTAGAAGGATCTCGCATCCAACCACATAACTTCTGTCCTGAGGAAGGGTCCACCAGAGTATCTGCGTCAATGTCATCGCACGTCACACTGACACACACAGGATAAATCATCATACACGGCAAGCAAGCAAGCAACGCTGACATAACACAACACTTGCTCTCTCATCACTTTCTGGCCAAACAGGGGGTCCACCCCTTCCGGTACCGGACGATCATGCCTCGAGATACGTACCAGAAGACTCTTCTTTGCATGATTTGATTGAGAGGGGGAGACCCTTGAATTCTGGTTCCCCGCCTCCGATCACGTTGCGTTTCGTTACAGCTCAAAGTTAAAATTGAAAATGCCGCATTTGTAATCTGCTATGAAGATCCAACGGCCATGAGACCATGAAGACAGGCTCTTTTTCTGTCCACCGTCGTCTTCTCCAGCTTTTAGGCTCTCCCGGCGCTCACAACAAGGCAGGCTCAAAAAGAGAAGCTTAGCGGCAGAGTAAAGGAGCGTGCGCGGGACGGAGAACTTTTAACAGCCCACCTATACCAGAACCGGATTTAGAGAGGGTTTAAAATAACCCATGTCCCTTTTTTTTTTTTTTGTGGGGCCTGAAAATAACCCGTATCTTACCCAATATAAGTTTCTCTTATTATATTCCACGTTACATCTGCGATTCAGCAAATTTTGTACTTCGTAATAAGAGAGCCGTTTCCATGAACACCCCGGGGGTCTACTCATGTTCCATCCATCTTGAACAAAATCAAATTACACCAACCAATAGTTATATATATATATATATATATATATGCGCCCGTGCGCGCATGTATTTATCCATGGTCAGCACAAAATCAAGGACTTGAGACGTCCAAGAGTCTAACGGATTTGCTCACTTACTGAAACAGAAATCGGATCAAAGCAGGAATTTTAAAAAGAAAGAAAGAAAGAAAGAAAATAAACATATTCGGTTCATGAAATCACGGTCAAGACAAGCTAATCAAGATCTATCACAGAGCTAGTCCTGTCCGTACGCAGACGGGGCAGGTGTTCTTGATCCCCAGCCATTTTCTGATACACTCATAGTGAAACTTGTGCCGGCAATCCAGGACCCCAATGTCCTCCCCATTAGCATAATTGTCCTACAGATGGTTTCAAGAGCATATATATCAATTAAATTTGGCAGGAGGCCCCAAAATCAATTATAGAAGTTGTTACAATAATTGGCAGGAGGCAGGAATGTGCACTAGCAAGGGAATCGACACAATTAAATATCATCGATAACAATGATTATAGGGAGGAGAGAACTACTAGGGAGCTCTCACTAAATTAGTGACAGATCAGATGAGATAACAGTGAAAAAAATAAAAGAAGTAATTTTCATGGCCACATCTTGGTTTTGAGTGAATCAAAATGGGGCAGACCTCACCTGACATACACAACAGGATTCAACACTTTCTGGAGTGGTCACGCTGGAGGATTGGAACTCTTCAAGCCTAAGGTGTACCATAATATCTTTTTCACTCAATCCAAGTATAGGTTGCCTATTCTCCTGCAGCTCCAGATAATTATTTTCACATAAATATTCCCCTCAAAATAATGGTAAAGTTCAGGTCAAATTATTTATTTTAAACTTGGCAATATTTAGGAAGTTTATCTTCACTAGCAAGATCTTACTAAACACGAAATTTATATTTTCTTTTCAGGTTTACAAAAGTTGTACTTCATCCTGTTCTTCCTCTTCATTATTATTATCCCCAAGCAAAAATAGTAGAAGTAAATAATCAATGATCAGTAATTCCTGTCGAACCATTAGTAATTACAGATTAGAGGTTTATAACTAAAGAACAGGATACTTACAATGAAAATGAAAATCAATCAACTAATCATTTATTTATATTTTGCGTCTCGTATGCCTGGGACTCCTAGTTGTAGGTCTTAGGTGTTGGCGTCTTGGCACTAGGGTCCGAGGTCTTGGTTTGTGGTTTTTTGGTTCCCCCTTTTTGCCCCAAAATGGAACCCGCAGTGTTCCACCATCATACGCAAGGGAACATTAATAAAGTTTAGATGCAAAGAAAAAAAATTAAAACAAATAAGCTCATAATATATATATTTGTCAACGTGACATCACAAGAAAATTCAAGATCAAATCACACCACAAGCGATAAAGTTTGGATATTTGGAATCATTTATACAAAATGATAGTGAAATTGATGAAAATATTGCACAATATAATACAAACTCAAAAGTTCAAATGGAGAAAGACTACAAAAATTATTTGTTATTGAAAAGTATCTAATAAGTCTAAAGGAAAGTTTTATCAAACTATAATAAAAATAATAATACTATATGATTATAAATGTTGAGCTTTCAAGAGACAGTAAGAATATAAAGTTGGGGTAATAAAAAGAAAAATGTCGAGGCAAATATGTGGGCATACAAAAAAGAAGATTCATAACAAGCATATACAAGAAGTTGGTGTGGCATCTATTGAAGAGAAAAAAAATAGGAAATCATTTAAGGTGTTTTAGACATGTACGAGAAAGGTCATTGCCTCATTGGAGGCTCCAATAAGGAGAATAGAAACAATTGAGTCTTCTGAAGAAAAGTGGAAGAAAACTAAAGAAAACACTCAATGAAGTTATTAAATAGCACTTTTTGACTAACAATATATTCATAAATTTATTTATTATTAACAGAGTGCAATGGTGTTGTGCAATTTATATAACTGACCTCATCTAATAGGTAAGGCTTCTTGTTGCCGAAGTGATACCACCAAAATTACATTCCAACCTACATGTACTCCTCAAGGTTAGCAGCTTTTTATGAGTCTGAGTTCCTTACTACTAGCCAGTGATGTAAAAGCTACACCCAACATTCTAGGGTATTCTAAGGCTGACCTAGTGCAATCAGAAATGTTTAGATGAGCATCCCTCATTGGTATTCTCAAATTCTACTCACTTGGATCAAGGAAGTAGAGACGTGTCTAAACGTGTCTAAATCAGGATCTTGGCTTGGCTCTGGATTTAGGGGATGTTCTTTGATTTTGGATTGGGGGCCTGGCTACTCTAGTATGGCACACAGGCTATTTCCTACAGATAAAATATGCATGCTTTCAGTGGGAACCAACCTGTGGCTGCATGGATCTACCATTGCGCAGGTGTTGCATGACATTTCGAACCTTTTGCATATGGGAACGCAAAAGACGTTAGACTGGATAGAAATTATATTAATTACCAAATCAGTTATCAATTAATATAGCCAATAAAAGGAAATTACACACAAAACGAAAGTTCTGCACCTGCCTAATCTCATATAGATAGCATCCTAACATTTGCTACATGAAAGTATCCAAGACGATACAGTGCTTACACAGTATAAGGGCCGTTGATTTGCCATATTGCAGCAACTGTATAATACTATTAAGACTTGAAAGTATCTTGATGAATGAAGCTAAATGCAGAAAGTAAATTATCCTTTTTGGGAAGGAGGGTTAAGGCATCAATGCCACTAATCATTACGTGAATTCTCAAACTTCAGAGATAATATGGAGTGACAGGATATGGAGCTTGAAGGGTTAAGTCTTGAGATAAAAAGAAAGAGTCTGAGCCAATGCTAGGCTTGTCCGAATCCTAGGAAATTGGGGTAGGCTTTTAAACCCTATGGGAAAATGGGATGCGCTGAACTCTTCTTTTGCATTAACTAATAACAATAATGCAACATCTTGACATTCAAAATTAGGTATAAGGAGGGACATCATCTTCAGTTTGAAGAATCTTAAGGCATAAATCTACAGTCATCAGACTCCAATTTTCCTGGCAAAACACAAACTTGATCCACTTTTCTGTACAATCATTTTATGTCCCATCTCAAACGATTCACTGCAGTTGTAATAGTTCTCAAGCCTCTTTCCGTTCATTCTGTATTAAGAAAAAATCTTGCCAACAAAACTATGCATTTGTCCAACACCCCCTCCACATGTAAGTTTGAAGTTTTTAGAATATTGCATATTCACGCATTACAAATCAATTATTTTCTGCCAAGCTATCAAGTTTACATCATCCAATATTCCCTGTTTGACCTCAGAATATAGAAAACATTAATATTTAGCTGGTCTTAACAATAAGTTCACAATACATGAAAGTTGAGACCTTCAAAAAAGACATTCATCAAAGCATACCTCAGTTAACAGATTGTTTCTAGCTTCAACAGTAATAGGAGGTCCAATATTAAGATAAGATTGATTCTCAGATCTTTGTGACGTTCTGAACTGGTTCTGAAATCCAGCACTACTAACTACAACAGCCAAGTCCCTTTCTTGAGAGATTGCTGGAGAGTTTAAATCAAGTTCGATATTTCTGCTTTGCCTTGGGAAACCAATAGATGCAGCTGCAGAGAGGTTCCCAACTCCCAATAACATTGGCATATGCTGTTCAAAAGCATTGGACCAAGGGACACCTGTAGGAGCATTCAATATATAACTGTGTGAAAAAGGACCATAATGCAGAGGGGAAGCAAAATTTCCAAGAAAGTTTGCAGTTCCATTGTCAACACTCAAGTTTGCTAGATAAGGTGACTGAGCTCCCCTTCTGGTTTGAGAAGCAACCATTATATTTCTTGGAATGTTGTCAGGGTTTCTGCCTCCTGGAATGATATAAACAGGCGAAAATGGAGGTGCAATGCTTCTTGGCCCCATAACATTAAACCAACGGGCAGGCACTAGAATCTCATGAAAATTAGGAAATTGCACAAATGGCTGCACGTAGGGAACCACACCAACTGAAGCTTGTGCTTGGATAAAGAAATGAGGATGGTCTCGTTGGTGATACTGAGGTGTTTGTCCATACAAAAGACTATGAAAGTTCCTTCCCTGCCCCATTGACAAATAGCTGGATGGTACAGAGGCTAGAGGACTAGCATCTGTGTGATTATTGCTTTGAAAGTGTCTAATTTGTCTAGCACGACTTAAGCGTAGCATGTTATAAACTGGCCTGGTGATACCGTGATCAATTCCTGCCTCAAATGAAAATAGAGAACTATTAGCAGAACCATGCCTAGCTTCATTCAATTGATGCATGTTAGAAACTGGCCTAATAGTCTCATGACCGAATTCAGCATCAAACTGTTGTTGGCGGATATTTGAAGCGCTAATACAAGGAGCTATTATGTTCAAGCTGTTACTACCTGCCTCAAATGAAAATAGAGAACTATTAGCAGAGCCATGCCTAGCTTCATTCAATAGTCGCATGTTAGAAACTGGCCTTATAGTCTCATGACTAAATTCAGCATCAAATTGTTGTTGGCGGATATTTGCGGCACTAATATAAGGAGCTATTATGTCCAAGCTGTTACTGGCATTGACTTGGACAGTAGCAGCCTGCAATATGGGGATCCTAGCTTGCACAGCTGATCTAGAACTTTCACCAGTTAACACTTCTCTAGAAGCATGTTCAGGAGATCTATTGGAGGACAAATAACTCATGTTCACTAAGCAGTTATCCACTCCTTGTCGATCCACTACATATGAGCTTCCACCATCAATTGCCATTAAATCAGATAAATTAGTGTCACTCTGATTGTCTGGTACATCAGGTGCAAATGAATGTAGGCACAAACCTACCGACACATTCTGATTGGTTTCATGATTATTTTCCACATATTCTGTATTTAAGTCCAGGTTATGATGGATAACACCTACACCGCGATCATTGCTTCGAACAATATTAAGATGCTCTTGATAAGGGAGAAAATTTGGATTAAAACTATTTGGGAAACTTTGAATGCTTCCAGTACAAGAACTTGATGAAGCAACTCTCAGGGCTTCACTTGATTCCCAATGGTTGGCCACACTTTGGATGCTTTCATTAGAATTGTTTTGACCTAAACCACCAGTAACAGTGAGGACACAGTTGAGCAAATGCCAGCAAATATATGATGCATCTATCCTTAATAATATCACAAAATCAGGTCCATATTAAAAGATTACAGGATGGGGTAGGCAGAGTTACCTTGATGGTTCATCATTGCTTATAAGGTACCTCCCAGGAAAGTATACCGAAAAGTAACACAAGATCACATAGTGCGACTATCCAGCAAAGTCATTCGGTCTACAAAAGAACCAAGCAGTTGAATGATACATAAAATACAGAATACCTTTCCCTTCAAACTAAAATAAGAAGTTACAGAAGTATTTAGGATTAATATTTTATACCATAAGTAGCCAAAATTGCAGAAGTACTTAGTTAAAGAAAAATACATTAATAGAATTCATAAAGGGATAGTAGTTTAATCAAATGGCATCACAATTCATTTTAAGAAAAAAGAATGGAATTATAAATGCATTGATTATCATACTTGGATCAGGATCAGAGTCAGGATCTACCATCTCCAGACAAAACAAAATAAAAATGTATACGTCTTGCATCATATTCAGAGGCCTAATTGTCACCTCAAAAACTCACAACCCATCCTACTTCTACTCACTAAATATGCCCCTAGCGCATTTAGAAACCAAGTTTTCAGTTTATCAATTGAATGATCAGGAATATCAATTCCAGGCCTCCAAGTATAGTCCGCAAATGCATCCTTCTACTATTTTTGCATTGTGAAGGATCCGTTTTCTTAGATTAGTAACCTCCAATGCAAAAAATTTCTTCACACAGGCCAAGTGAATGGGATGTAGCACATCTAATCTGGCAGTATCTCTAGTTTTGGTAGGGAAGAATAAATACATTTTACAAAGTTATGAATAACTACTGGAAGGTATTTAAACTCGGCTCACAAAACTGAAATATAAATTCGAGCTTACAAACATTTAAGATAAAGATATTTGTACTTTGAGTATAGATAACCATATGCAGAACATATTCTATAAAAATGTTATAATAAAGCAGCAGATAGTCAATTCGATCATAATTGATACATATTAATTAAATAAAAACTAGAAGCATAATGAGAAGATAGAAGTAAATAGACAAACTTTATCAATAATCAAACCTTGATACACTAAAATGAAAGGTGCAAATCAGCTAATTTGCTAAGTCAATTATCAGTAGGAAAGGGAGTGAATATACGATCTCACATAATTAAGCTGCAAAGCCAAAAATGGGAAAGATTATATTAATGCAAAGTAATGATAAAATTCATGAATGGAAAAATGAAATCAAAGAGCAATATCCCAAATAATAATCGGCAATTGTTGGCACACGATACATGCAATACAATAAACCAAAGTGACCAGATAATGGCAATTATGTAACGCTAAAGCTCACATTTAAACAGATTGATACGTGAGCTGATAAAGTTAAAAAGACGTACAGGATTCAGTTTTGAGATTTAGAATATTACAACAATAAGCATATTGTCTCAGTTATAACCAAAAACATAGAAGAAATCTGCACTAAACATTACCACCCACACCCCTGGTGATAAGCTACACAGAATATTACAACAATAAATATGATAGAAATACAGTAATACAATTAAGCAGTAAGATTAACGATCATTCAAGGGGGATACACAATCCCTTCATGCAAGAAACAACAATCACCAGTTCTATACCTTAAGCTCATATTTTTTTATGCATGCGAGAATAAAAGGTCAGAAAAATCTTGACTGGAGAATACATAAGCATCTCTCACTAAACATGTTTGGCTGTAACTCAAAACATTTACAGCCAAGCAAGCTTCATGTAGCACTATAGGCACTAAAGCTTGTAGGGCGGTTCTGTGGCAATATGGAAGATTTATAGCTTTGCAAGTTTCATGCAGCTATTCTTTCTGTATTTGAAGTGCTTGCTATGTGTATAACAGCTAAATAGGGCCACAAACATAATTTAAATCATTATGAGAGGCTGAAAACTAGCAACCTTCACCATTGGCACATTTTGGTCTTCTTGCAGCCCCGGATTAATGACTATCACTTGAAGGCACTAAAGTTAGGCAAGCCTTATCTCTTCATCCACTTTTCTTCTCCCCGGATTCAGACCTTCCTCACCCTCTCCTCTAATTCACAACCACCTGCAATACACTTTCCTCAAATGCAAGCACCTGCTCTGAATCCACTGCCATACCAAAACCTCCAGTAGTACCACCTCTCACAACTTCATAAGTGTCAATCAATCAGCAGACCAGAGCTTCCAACCCTGACAAACCTCCTGTTTTTTTCTTTAATGTATTAGTAACATATCACTGTTTTTTATTCTGAGTCAGTGCTCTCGATTTAAGTTATATAAAGTTTCACCACACAATTGAGTTCCAAGAATGCAGAATCTACTAGAAAATGTTGCTATGTTCCCAATACCAAAGTAAGGAAAACTTGCATGCCATTTTCGTCATAAGGGTTACAACTTACAAGCAAAAGATCACCAGAGCTATAGATCATTTAATTGGGGGAGAAAGAAACAAAAGGAAAGAATGCTAAAATTCGCCTTTCATACCACAACAAGTGAGAGAACAGATCACACAATATGATACCCAAAACACTGACATCAAGGAACAAATAAGTTTGGTGAATTTCAACAACAGAAGATAGGATAAGATGGAGGAAATTATTGGTAAAACTCCCATCAATGCAGCTGGATGGTGATAGCATCCTCCTCATATCATCCTCTTGATATGGTGGATGAACAAGAGAGAAGATTCGGAGAATAAAGAGGGATTGCCTGATGATTATCATTATGATGATTTTCTGCTTGACTAAGCGATCAAATAAGTACATATATATATATATATATTTTTTTTTTTCCCTTTATTATAACCAAAGTACAACCTTAGCCAGAGGTATTAACTGCATAAACCTAAGTGTCAACAATGGAAGTCGTCTATTTCAACAACGCCCAAAAGCTATTCATGGGAATGCGAAGTCATTAACTTATATAAAGTCCTACAAAAGTTTCATGTGTTGATTGCAATTACATTATTATATCAATCTACCAAATGATAGCCATATTGGATGGTAAAAAGCATATAGATAAGATGAAAACACCCAAAGCATATTGATATTTGATAAAGAATAACAAGGAAGGTAGTTGAAAGGAATTCTCTCTCTCCCGTAAACATATCTATAACAAATTGACGGTGTAAATATGCTATCTTCATTTACCAGTGTTTCCAATTACTAATTACTAAATGAAATAAGCAGGCAGCGGGAGAATTAGTGAGAGAAAAATGAATAATACACTTGACAGTAGTTGTTTCTTCTTCTTCTTCTAGTCAAGCTCAACAAAAAACATGTGTGGCTTCTTTTATACTTCTCAAGCATAAAGTGTTCTTGGGACACTCAAAAATTGAGAATTCAAACATAAAGTCGTGATAACCATTTGATTAACTCCATTTGCCTAAACTCTGATCCAAAGTCATAACGCATATAAGGGAGAAAATGACCCTAACATGGCCAATCATGAAATGCATTATGCTCACATGGTTAGATTACAATTCTCCCAAACAAGGACTACGTTAAAAACTGAGATTGAGATACCAACTAACAAGTTGCAAAAGAATATAAAATCCAAAGACAAGATGCACGGCCAGTACAAAAAAAATTGATGAACCCCCAAACTCTTAAAAACGTAGAACATCTATTCACAGAAGAGGAGTGAGGATAGACAAAACCCACCGACCGATGAAATTGCAAAAGTAAGAAGAAGAATTGAGTGTATACCCAGTAGAGAAAAAGAATCCCCGGTGGGGTAGCTCAAAGTTGACGGCTTCGGCGACGATCTTGCTCAGTCTCCTATGTTGCACACTTTCAGCGTCTCTGCGAAGTTTGAACAGTCCGAAAGCAAAGATGGAATCTCTTATGGATCGAACTGAAGTGAGGTATCGGTGAAACTGTTTGGATTTGCATTGAATTCCAATGCCAGGTTTCATTCCATGAATGAGTTTCATAATGGTACAAAAAAACCAGAAACCCAGATAATAAGGCGACGGGGTCATGGCTGGGTTCTGCTAGGGTTTGTAACGCTACTAGGAGCCTTAATCCTGGACGCCCCGTGGCATGAATTCCCGGTTCTCTGCATGGAGGCCGTTTCTTCCTCGTTTTCTCCACCTCCTTGCATCTCAGGCCTGCTTTTATTGCTTCCAGACCCTTCTCTTCTGTTTTTCCCCCTTTACTGTGTCGTCAACAGCGATGCTCACTGGAAGGGGAAGTTGGAACTTGGAACCTCCCGCCCACGCTTTGCATGCAGCACGATCACTATATTCACCACCCAGTTTTATTACTTTCTTTGTAGTTTAACGAGAGCATGTCCCTGTGAGCGTTAATGATATTTTTTATTAAAAAAAAAGTTATTGTTGTTTTCACTGTAGAAAAAACAGTAACAAAGAATTGTATTTTACAAAACAAAAGGGCAATTTTTTTTTATAAAGGTATATTTTTGCCCTTTAAATTTTTTTAAAAAGCATCAAATATTTTAAAATATTTGTTAAAAGTAATTAAAATGTAGCACCCAACACACTGGTGTTAAATAGTAAAAAAAGCGGTTAGAGAATGTTTCTGTGAATTGAAAATGCTGATGTCGACTTAGTTGATTGTGGAGAAATGAAATAGCAACCTTGACCCCCTATTTTCTTTTTTATTATTATTTATTATACTCTCCAACAGTACCTATGCTGGTACGCTATCCTTTCCTTCAAGATACATCAAGATCTTCTCAACTTAACTTCCAACTTGCCGCCTTCTTCTTCCCCTATTCGAACACACTTCATAACACATATCTTCTCATCTTTCCTTCTCATTCATGTTTGCCTTCATCCCTTGAGAGAGACCGCTCGTTATAGTAACAACCTCCAACTCTCAATAATGCAGAGCTTCGAGACCGCTCAGTCCACCACATAGCAACTTTATTTCCACCCTTCCTTCTTTCTTCGGTATGCTCTGCCTATCTTCTTTATTTTTGCATTTTGTGATCTGTTGTGAAGTTGAGCTTGTCTATGTTTCTTTAGTTTGAAACAGGGGTGACAATGCCAAGCGAAATCCTACACGTGTCTCTGATCTTGGAGAGCTTCAACATTCTATTTCTCCTTTTCAGCATGACAATGCTGTTGATTTAAACTCAAGTCTCTTTATGTGCCGGCTCTAAGTTCAACATCAAGCTATATGACTCCCATGGCTATGGCATTTACATTTGGGACCTTGAAGCTTGGGGTGGCTTGATGGTCATCGATTACAACTACTTCGAGTGGGGCAACCTAAACATCTTCCGCGGCAAGAATCCTTGCCTTGACATCCCTATCTACACTACCAACATCACCTCCGACGACACCGACACCAATCATGGGTGGTACTTTAACTACGTGAAGGTCACCACTAGAAGGCCCCTTGTGTCCTGAGCAGTTCATTGTCAAGTGGTGGCTCGCTTTGGATGCATCACCCTATCAGCTCTAGGTTGCCAAGAATTATTACTCTGCCAAGCTCGATCAAGATCCAGCCACTCTCGTCGATGGCTTCAGATTTGGGCTCTCCATTCTGCGGCCAACACATTAATACTCCCACAAATATCAACCCTGATGATAAAAATCTAGTGGGTCTCTTCTTTTCCATCATGCTCTTTTTTTTTTTTTTAGTCAAAGTTCAATCCACTCAGGATTTTTTAACAGCCACTTATTACTATTTAACACCAATTGGATGCTCCATTTTAATTATTTAGAGATAAAAATGTTACAACAAATACTTTAAAATGTTGGATGCTCTTTGGAGAAAACATTGGAGATAAAAATGTACCGTTATCCTTTTTTTTAATAATATGCATACTAAACTAAAATATGCAATAAATCATGTTATTATTTATAGATAATAAGTATAATAACTGATTTTCAGAAATTGATGGCAAATTTAGATTGAAACAATAGAGTCTAGCATGATTATAGGCAAGCAGGGAGGCTTGAAAAGATCCAACTGCTACATATTGGATCAATTTTACAATAACCTAGCGAATATAGGAAGGATTTTGCAAGACAGTGACCAAAGTAGGTGTATTTGGTTTTAATATGCAGTTTTTTTTACTGTTATATACTGTCATCCAATTTCGTGGTGTATTATATTTCAATTTTATACTCTTTATGTAGAGTTTTTCCCCTAAGAATTTCAGTTTTGAAGCAAGGAAGAAACAGACTTATTGGTGGTCCTAAAAAATTATAAAATTTTAGTTCAATTTAAAGGAAAAATGTTAAAATAATTTCAATGGTGAAAATATCAAAATAATTTTCACTTGTTATGCAGAATCATTGATTGTTAATTTTTTAGTTTTACTTGTTAATTTACTAATATGAGTTGTAAATGATATGAGTTTTTTTGGTGCTAATGCAAATTATATGAGTTAACATGTCAATAATAATATAAGACTTGACATTAGTTTTTGAATTATAAGCAACAATATCAATTGTTAAATTGCTAACTTTTCTTGTTAACTTACTAACATCAGTTATAAATTACTTACAGTTTTTATAATTTATTAACATCAATTATAAATTACTAATAGATCATGTAATTTATAATTGATGTTAGTAAATTAATAAATAAAGTTAGTAAATTAACAATTAATGTTACTGATTGTTTGATAAACGGATGTAATTTATAAGCATATTAGTAAATTAATAAGTGAAGTAAGAAAATTAATAAATAGTAATTTTGTATAATAAGTGAAGAGTATTTTAATTTTTTTATTATTAAAATTTTTTTTATGTTTATCTCTTTAGATTGAACTGAAATTTTAAAATTTTTTTTTAACCTGCTAATAATGAAGTTTTTTCTTTAATCTTTAATTGAAATTCTCTCTCTCTCTCTCTCTCTAAAAAAAATTCTTATCCCCTTAGGTGGAAATAAAGGAACTTTGTAAGCAAATAAATAATTCACTCCCTGTATTTTGGGGATAGGTATGTCATTTCTGAATTATAAATACACAATCAACACTTTTAATTACTTTTAATTCAATAGTGCATCATTAAAGTTGACATCTAAATGGAGTAATGGATGTAGAGGGGATAAGGGAGGGCTCTTAAAGTCATTGCCTGTAGTTAAAATTAGTTAATACTTTTAAAATTTTAAAAGCATCTTCAATGGATCGGAGTTCGTTAATCAGAAAATTTTTTAGTTAACTTGGATCTATAGTCAATTAGGGGATGTCAGAATAAAATAGAGCCAAAAAAAAAAATCACTGCCTCAAACAAAAGATCTCATATTAAGGACTACAGATAAGTGTTTTATAATAAGAATTAAAACACAATTTATTAGAGATTTAAAGCAAAATTTTCAAACTTTGACTGTTAATTCATCTCAAATATAAATGGTTAGTGCTTCTTCTTCTTTTTTTTTTAGAGAAAAGAATCTGACTTTGTTAAAAAATAAATGTTTCAACTAGTATGTCTTGACGATCCACGTTGATGAATTATAAGCGCACCTTCAATAATCATCAAAGTAACTAAATATTTAAGCGGCCATGATTTAGTTATAACCATGTAAATAATCATGGAAGGATTGAAATTGATGCTTCATAGAGTTGATGTTATATGATTTCAACGGTTTTTAATAAATTACAATGTTTGGTTAATTGATCTAAAGTCTAAATGGGCTAAGTTTATGAAAAAGTACCATTATGTTTAATAAAAAAGGAGAATTACTATTGATATCCTACATAAGAAAATTAATTACTGTAAAGTTCATTGACAATATTTCCTCCACTTTTATTTGTGAGAGAAAAGAATTGTATTACACAATTTAAAAAATTAATTAACTATATTAATTGCGTATAAAAATCAAAGAATTGAACTACAATACCCTTTATTAATTGTGTTAATCAAGTTTTCATTAATTATTTCTTATAACTATTAATGTTAAATTATGAAGAGTAATTTAAGAAGTATGTAATAAATGTTTATTAAAAAATATGACTTTGCTTATATAAAAAACAAGTAAAAGTAATAGTTTTTTTTATAAATAAAAAAAGGAGCGCGCGCGCGCACACACATATATTTTTTTATTTAGTGGTGTACTTTTCAAAGAAGTGTATCATTTCACTTTCACCGTATGTCTTTCAAAAGACCTAAAATAAGTTTACAAGAGGGCAAAGAGTGATGGTACTAGGCAATAAATAAATATCATTTGGGTCAATATGTAATCTATACCCTAAATTATATGTTCAAGGGTAACTTGAACCCTAAAATCTTATTTGGTTTATTATGAATCTTAAACAATTAAAATTAGTACAATTTCACTTTTACCGTTAAGCAAATGATGTTATTTTTTTGAAAAAAAATTGGGTTAATGTATGATTTTAACTAAATTTCAATCTTCCTCTCTCTCCTACCCTCCTTTAGAGAAAATTATATATTAGACCCTCTTTTTAAAAAAAAACAAACATTTGGTTTAATGGTGGAGGTAGAATTGTATGAATTTTAATTATTTATGATTCATAATACATCAAATAAGAATTTAGTGTTCAAATTGTCTCTGGACCTATAACATGTTAGTAGTGGGTAGGAAATTGAAGTCTAAATTGTGTCATAAAAACACTGTCCTTAGGAGCCATTCCACCACATCAGATTAGTTGTATGACAACTCCTTAAGATTAAGCATACTCTTCCTGCATAGTTAGTCAGTATAGCTGGGAATAAGGGTCGGGCTTAAAGGACTATGTTTGCAGGCCTTATTTAAATAAGGGTTTGGGTTTTAGAAATTAATTTGTTTAAAGTAACTGAGCTTGAGGGCTTAGCCCTGATAAGTCTTGTGAAAAAGAATTCGAACCCGGACAACCCTTCAAACTCTGATAAGCCTGGTTATATTACACATACACACACATTTGTCTAATAATGACACAGTTTAGTTAATATTTATTGTAAATAATGAGGAAAAAGTTGCGGATATAATTAACATTAAATCTCCACCTCTATCTTCAACAAGTAGACCTACATTTGAGAGATTTAATATTTTATTTTTAAATGATGAGGAGGAGAATTTAGATTTACAGCAAACAAAGATTTTTATTTTCATCTTAAATTTAAAATGTTAAATCTTTGTCAAATTTTATGTGAGACTTTAATTTATTTTATGTTGAAATTTAAAATATTCTATTTAAATTAAACTGTTAAATTTTTTTGGAAAAGAGGGCTTAAGGGGCGGCCCTCAAAATTAGGTCAAATTTTGGATAAGGGC